CATGAGCTGAACTCAAAGATCTAAGACTTTTTCTATGTACACAAAAGGCCTATTTCTCTCAAATATTGTTCACAAATCTGTCTAAATCTGTGTTAGTGAGCACTTCTCCTTTGCCGAGATAATCCATCCACCTCACAGGTGTGGCACATCAAGATGCTGGCCTTTTGTGTACATAGAAAAAGTCTTAGATCTTTGAGTTCAGCTCATGAAAAATGGGGACAAAAACAAAAGTGTTGTGTTTATAATTTTGTTCAGTACATGTTAAAAAAACAAACCAAAATCCTTCCTTCAAATTGCTCACATAGTGTAAATTTGTGTGCATTTTCATTTCAAGATGTACACAAGTAAACCAATGCAATAAATGTGAGGATTTGTTCAAATGTGGCTAACATTTCTGTACAGACTTGCCTTAAGGCAGTTTTTGAAGTGTATAGTAATAATTTGAGCACTTATTCACGTGTTACATGCGCTTTTTATCGTCGCATACAGGCACTTAAGAAGTTATTCACAATCTATGTGCATTATGCAAATATTCAAGGATCAGTGCCGCCCTGTGTATTCAGGTCACTTAGTAGATTATTAATACAAACACCATCTCGAGTGTGCTTGTTGGTCCATGTATTTAGTCTTTTTTTCTTATTCTTGCAGAAAAGCTATTTCGAGGGTTCAGATTTGATTTCACAAACCTGTAAATGAGTGTTTCTTCAATTACAGGCGTCCCAGGGGTTGACTTTTATTAAAACTAACACTTTTTTTTTTCTTTTTGTTATATGAAAGTCACATTAAAATTCTTGGAAACATCTCACTAGGCTTTCCTAATTTATTTTTGCTGCTTATAAAGGTGTGGTGGACCCAGACTTTTAAGCTTAAAATATGAAAATCCATCACAAAATACTAATTAGTAGTAAACAAGAAGAAATAAACAGAGAAAAAAGCCAATCATTGTGCTTTGAGTATTATTTATACACTGTTGTAGTATTTATTCATATTTTGAATTGGCTTTTATTTTTATATTTTCAATTTTCATTTTCATTTGATTTAGTTTTAGTAATTTTATAATAGATTTTATTTTTAAAATGTCTATTTAGCTTTAATAAATTATTTCAGTTTTAGTTTTAATCATTTTAATACTTAGACTAATTTTATTTCAGTTAGTTTCATATTTATTATGTAATATAAATATTATTTTTTAAATGTATTTATTTATTTATTTATTGTCTTTTGGTTGTGGTATCATTTCCATCACGACCAACAATTTTCCACTAATAAAGTTTTTTTCAGAAGTTAGCATTTTAATTTTCATATTATTAACATATTATTTATTTGTGTGTATTCAGAATAGATAAAATAATACATAAGAAAGGTAGACACAGGGTTCTGTCATTTTATTCCAAAAATGTTTAAAATGTAATTTCCAGCACATAATACTTATTAAAAAAAATGTTCACTGAAGAAGCACCCAAATTAGTATAGGTATTCAAGGAATTGGCTCTGAAACAAGCTGCATAAAATAAAACCTAAAATGAAGCAAATTCACATTTCATGATGTGTTTTTCTTACGTGGGAATATAAAAGGGCAGAACAGCAAAACAGGTGTAAGACAAATACTGCAGAAATAACTGAAACTGCCACGTTTCTCACAAAAGACCTCCTTGCCTATAACATATGAAAGCATTTTCTAATAGTGCATTTACTACCTAAATGTCCCTGACATGCCAAATAATTCTCAATATGATTGCATATGTGCCTGTACATGGTCTAAAGCATCTGCAGCCTGTAGAGATGGTTTTTCAGATGGCCTCCTAGTCGGTTTTAAATAAGGCTACAGATTACCTCTGCTGTGATCGAAAAAATGAGAAACGCGAACAGTCGCATAAGGAATAGGAAACAAAAATTGCTTTTTTTGTGGCTGTGTGGTGGATAGCTTTTGTTAAAAGCCGTCAGCGAGACCGCAGCGTGTGGTTGATTTTCTATATATGTGTTTTCTGTTTACCCTTTTCACCTAAAGCCCTGCAAACTGGTTTCTGCCTCCCATAAACCGTATTCCAGCAGCCCCAGCACGTCATCGTGAGGCTGGGCTGTGAGGAAATGTAATCCATTTGGAGGTGACAATGATTAAAGAAAGAAAAACTTGTTTGAGGTAAAACGTATGAATCATAGAAACGGCTTTTCAGAGCCTTTCTCAAAGCTGCAATTATGATTAATATGGAGTAATTTCATTCTCCTTGGTGGTCTTTTTGAATGCCCATCATGACTAAAACACATAGTCCCATTCGCATTGTTTAAAATGAATTGAGGTTGGACTTCAGTGCATGGATGGCGACTGCTGCGTAATTACTGTACAGCACATAACTTTCCTTGCTAAGAATACATCTGTTTGTTAGATAGCATTTTATTAATACATCTTTTTTCTTAATGCTAGTTTTTTTTATGTGTTTATATAAAGATTGCTGTTGTTAAAGAAAGCTGATGACTTTAATCAGAAGTCTGTTAAACTGTTTAGCAATTATGCTCTATTTTTTATATGAAGATTACATTGGCTGCAATATAACAAAGAGTGAAAAATTTAAGGGGGTCTGAATACTTTCCGTACCCACTGTATATATATATAATTAAAACATTATTCTTCAGTTATTCTTTTTGTTTTTTTGTTTTTTTTTACATCTACAAATTCTGTATTTCTTATGCTTTCTCCGTTTGAGAGGATTTTACAGTTTTTCACCCACAGTATTTTATATATATATATATATAATAACATGTCAAAAAATGTAATATGTCAAAATCAAATAACATGTCATGTCAATTTGTAATAATGTCTATTCTTATTAATTTTATATGTACTATTAATGATAATGTGAGGTGTAAGGATCACAGCTTTGGCTTAGTGTCAGTGATGAGGAGACTAATTAAATATAAACATATAAATATATTGATATATAAACACAGACACACTAGGGGTGTCGAAATTAATCGTTGCATCGATGCATCGCGATGCGGTCGCGGACAATTTTGCATCGATGCAGTAACAGACCATAGTCGATTATAGCCTTCTGACGTCATTCGCATACGCGCTTGTCACACGAGTATTAAAAATGCACTCTATATTTTAAAATCTGAGCATAGCTTTTTCCCTCACATGGCACGTGTGCGTGCTAGAGACAATCGCGGCAGGCTTCATTGCACATGATATGCGCTGTGAGACACGTGCGTATTGCTTGACTGCTTCCGTTCGCTGTTATTTTAGTCTTTTACTTTAGATGTGCTTTCATTTATGCCATTTGGAATGCAGTAGCCTACGTATTAGATGATGGAACGCGATTTTTACCGGGACACCCCCCTCAAAACGCGGTTAGTTTGGACTAGTTTTGGGTAGCAATTGGGAGGGTTTTGTTGTGAAAAACCTGGCAACCCTTTTCGTCAAGCAGGTAACGTTATCATTGCTAACAAAGCGACTCATCAAAAAATACATTGGCATCATCTGTATTAAAGAGAAAATAATCACTTCATCCGATGTTTAAGTGAATAAAATAGCCTTAACAGCCTTACTTACTGGAGTTCCACAACTATTGTTTCATTTATGCCATTTGGAATGCAGTAGCCTACGTATTAGATGATGGAACGCGATTTTTACCGGGACACCCCCCTCGAAACGCGGTTAGTTTGGACTAGATTTGGGTAGCAATTGGGAGGGTTTTGTTGTGAAAAACCTGGCAACCCTTTTCGTCAAGCAGGTAACGTTTTCATTGCTAACAAAGCGACTCATCAAAAAATACATTGGCATCATCTGTATTAAAGAGAAAATAATCACTTCATCCGATGTTTAAGTGAATAAAATAGCCTTGACAGCCTTACTTACTGGAGTTCCACAACTATTGGCTTTGTTGTCTCTCACCAGACTCGTGTGTGTTGTAAAAGAGGAAAGCAGGCATTTGGACCAAAGCACTGTGAGGCAAGGGAGGGGGAGACTCAAAATGTTTCTAGATGGGGGGGGTCCTGTCCCCCCGACCCCCCCCCGGGATTTCCGCCTATGCTTGCATCTACTTTTATGATACGAAATTGATGTAAACAATCAGTTATGTTTTCAGAACTGATATATCGAAATAGATCTGTGCATTTGTGTGAATGCAGCCTATTAAAGCTGCCACTGTCTATGATCTCATCAGTAATAATCACATGGCAAAAAAATTAAATAAAAGAAAAAGAAAAACCCATAACTATGATTAGCCTATCTGTAAACTTCCAGATACTTAAAGCACTCCCAGATAATGAAAGTGCTTTTTGTTTATCCCTTGTAATTGCATTTTCCCCCTTTATTGCTTTATATTTGCTTGTATGTTTTAAAAGCTATATTTACTTTTAATTCTTAACAATAATTAATCAATTATATATTAATTAATTAATATAATATTCATAATTAGTTAACATAATTATTTTAAAAAGTAGCCTGCTTACTTTTAATTTAATTTAATAAAAATGCACAAAATAAATGTGATATAATCGTGATGCATCGTGATATCGAATTGAATTGAATCATTGACATGATAATCGTAATCGAATTGAATCGTGAAAACAAGTGCCGATTCACACCCCTAAGACACACACGCTAACTAAAAGACAGTAGTTACTGTTTCCTTGATCCTTGCTATGATCCTTAGTGTCACAGACGTGATAAAAACAAGTTTTAAAATATACAGTCTGGATCCACAAAGAAATGACTTCTGGATGTGTTGACATTGAAGCATTTAGGCATATGCAAGCAATAGTTTTTTCACTGTTGATTGGATACAATTGGACATTTCTATCATGCTGGATGTGCTAATATCACATTACTGCTACACAGCAAACTGTAGATCTGTAGAAATAAATTAATCACACTTAAACTGTCTGAGAGTATGAGAAGATGTATGAATATAAAGGACAGTGCTAACCTTGAACAGAAAAACTGGGCTTTCTTTAACCGCTGAAAAACATAGAAAAGCTCTTAAGATGTCTTCACTTACCAGAAATAATGGAGGCGAGTCTAAACTCATCAGAGAGATGCATTGGTTCATATGGGGAGGTCTCATACAGTTCTTCTCCTTCAAAATAACACAAAAACAGAGAAATATTGGATATTAGCATTGTTTGGGTTTTACAGGAATATAATGTCCTGGGCATGTGGGTCAATTAAGTATTTTTCAAATACATCTACATCTTGCAAAGGTTATAAAGATAAATACAAATTCTATAATACAAGATTCCTTAAAATAATGCTTTCAAATGGCCAGACTCCTCTAAACTCTCACACTGTTTCAAGTACACACTCTCTCAAGAATTACAGCTCAGCAGTCTTTTGTCCAGATTTGTACTGGCCAACAATCACAAATTAGGTCCCCAGTGTTGCATCCCATTGGATGTGTCCAGAAAGTCTGCTGTTTTCTAATCCAGGGCCTTGAGCTGGAGCCCACAAAGAAGTGCAACCAATCTGCTAACTGGTCCCAGCAGAGGTGCCGCTATAACAATGAAAGCTGTGACACTAGACCTTCAACAGACTGATGTGAGGCTCTCAGATGAAGATTTCCAGCTGTCTAGCTCTTTAATATTTTCCTTTGAGATCAATAGAAAAAGTTTCTGTTGGGTGGTTAGCACTAATTCTCCAGACACATTAACACATGGTGCTCATTTGGGAAATGCAGGATTGAATGTGCCCTGTGTCATGTACCAATTCTAGCAGTCTGCTTCTAATCTGGTGGGATTCAGGCTGATTAATATCATTAAAGTGAAACTTTTTTCTCAGAATTGCATGATATAAACTCGCAGTTGTGAGTTATGAAGTCAGAATTGTGAGATATAAACCTGCAATTGCGAGTTATAATGTCCAATTCTGAGGAGAAAAAAAGACTGATATGTTTATATCTCACAATTCTGATTTAATAACTTGCAATTCTGAGAACAAAAGTCAGAATTGTGAGTTTTATTACTCAGAATTGCAACAATTGCGAGAAAAATCTCAGAACTGCATATTTTTCTCGCAATTGCAAGTTTATATCACGCAATTCTGAGAAAAAAAGTCAGAATTGTGAGATGTAAACTCGCAATTGCGAGAACAAAGTCAGAATTGTGAGATAAAAAGTTGCAATTGCCTTTTAAAAATTTTTATTTAGTGGTGCAAACGGGCTTCCATAGAAAGTCAGTGGGGTTCAGTGTGGATTGTATGGATACTAGCAGATGAAACATTCTTCAAATGTTAAAACTTTAAATATATTATAATCAAATTTTTTAAGAAAGTAAGTTTATATGGGCTTGGAACGACATGAGCTCACCCTTAAGTTGACCAAATTTATTGGTGAACTGTCCTTTTAAATTGGAATTTTAAAAAGGCTTAAAGGGGTCATATGATGCGATTTGAAGTTTTCCTTTCTCTTTGGAGTGTTACAAGCTGATTGTGCATAGATAAGATCCCTGAAGTTGCAAAGACTAAGGTCTCAAAACCAAAGAGATATTCTTTATCAAAGTTAAGACTCTGCCACGCCCCCCTAAAACGGCTCGTTCTAACACGCCCCCACATATCTACCTCACTATGTGGAAATATTAGCACAATGCGGCCCAAATGTGCAC